CAATACACCCTTTTGATCTGTTTACTAATCTTTCTATTGACCCATATCCCAGACTTTGTATATATCATGTTTTTAAAGTATTGAATAAGTGAACCATTATATATGCGAATGACTGTAGAGGGAGTAACAGAGTTTGTATTTCTAGGTAACACTTCCCAAAATGAAAATATGTTGTATAATAACCCCTTCAGCAATAAGGTAGGTTATATTTAATTTTTATAAAATATAAAAAAGAGAGAGAGAGATCTGGATATATTGCTCAGTGGTAAAGCACTTGTGTAGCAAGTGTGAGGTGCTGGATTCAATTTCCAGTACTGCAAAAATAAAAGAAGGAAAATGGAAGGGGAAGGGGATGTAGGGGAAGGATGAATTTCTCTTTTGATAAAGAACATGGCATGAAAAATTTTTCTATGTTATATGTACTTTGAAATAAATTATGAACCAAATAGGTTAGGTGAACATTTGACTACAAAAATGTATGAGCCATAATTTAAGGAAATTATTTGGAGAAAAAAAAGAAAGAACTCAAAGGGGAAAAAAAAGCATTTAAGCCAAAGTGTACTGAACTCAACATGTACAGACAAAATAAATCTTAGAGGAATTATGAGCGCATATGCTTTAACAATAGGAATATGATGATTATATTTGCACCAGAATGGATAGTACTTAAAGTCCACTTATAGGAAAAATACAGCCCCAAAATATTGTTGATACAAGTGTGCATTACTTCACATCATAAACTTAATTGGAAAGAAACTGCTAACAAGAAGCTAAAAATAACACTAAGCAAGGAGAGCAGCAATTGAAAACAGAGACCAATTCAAAACAACACTGATAATGTCCTGACCACAGATTTTCCTTTGTAAAACTCATGTTATTCCAACTATCTACATATCTGATATAGGGAATTTACACTATTACCAAAGGTCATACAGCAGACAGATTTCTGGCTAAAATTCAAAATTAGAGTCCTTGGTAAGCTCTCATAATGAAACAATTTTAGTTTTCTTAATTTTAGTGACTCTTTAAGCACTCTTCTGTTTTAAATAAATCATAAGTAACCATAAAAATCATTTGCCCTGAAGAACTGTTGGAAGCTTTTGTGTTTCTGGATCATTTTATGGCCCACCGATGAACTATAGAGCTATATGATAGAGATTCATTACACTCATTCATCTACAGCAGAATTGTGGGTTGTACCACAATCCAGGAGTTTATGAGTATCTTTGCCAATCAAAGATTCTTCCACGAAAATCTGAAGTACTAAACAATCATGCCATATCTTTTTGAGAATAATATTTTGGATAAAGTAAAGAGAAAGCAAATTCCCAATGCTCAGGTTATTTTCCCCTCAAAATCAAAATAAAATTTTGGCTTTGATGTACTTGAGATTTGTAATGATTTTGTTTTCTTTTAAGATGGAGATTGTCTTGCCAGTTTCTTCTGTAAAGCTGTTTTCCCCATGGCTGTGAAAGGCAACCATGACTTTATCATATTTCTTTATTCAGCCTTAAAATGGAGAGATGCTAGCTCTGGTTTGTTTGTTTGTTTGTTTGTTCCAGCTTCCTCTTCGACTCCAAGTTGAAAAGGAATTCGGTGTCTGTTGCAGGAAAAATCAATAAAAAAGGTAAAGTACTAGCTATATGTTTTTAGAAAACCTAAATCAGACTTGTTAGGGACCTGAAGGAATCATTTGTCTAGGAAACCGAAATCTTTAAATATTTCATTGTCTTCTCCTAAAAGGATAAACGGGTATTTTTCCAGCTAAAGGTGATTGTTCCTCATAAAGATTTATGTATAGGGGTGATTTTATGCTAGTTAATAAATTTCATTTGATGTGCCATTATTTACTAATACATTTCCTGTGATCTCATTTTCAGGTTATGTTAATGAAACTCAAGAATGTACAGACATTGTGCTTTCTGGGTGAAGCAAGCTTGCGTTTGAATTGTCTGCTCTCTCCGGGGCAAGTCTTTACCATGAAAGCGGAAGCAAGCTCTGAATTTGGGAATTTGTTATTGCCACAATTTATCAGTGTCATACCTACTCCAAATGGATGTTATCAATGTTAAAAAAAAGAATATCCTAGGCCAATAACATATGATGAAAATTCTTGCATTTTATAATGCACTTTGCACTTAAGAAGCTAGTTCTCATTTTGAAAAGTAAAGAAAAACAAAAGCAGAGAAGTTAAATGCTGCATAGCAAGTTATTAAACCTGTTTATGGCACTAATAGTAATAGATTATTCCCGTGAAAATACAAACCGACTTAGTACATGTTTGCTTTTCATGTCTAAAGTCGAGAGTCCTCACATCTAGACAATTGCTTTTGTTACACTGTTTGAAGAAATCTTCCTTTTGTTAGTTCTTTTGGTTTTTTTTTTTTTTGCTTATATCCCTGAGAATATTATATTTTTGAAAAATTTTGTATATCTCAAAAATAATACACATTTATAAAACCTATCATTAAGTCTTTATAATTTCATCAACCTATTTCTTAGAAACAATTTGCTACTTAGTATAAAATGTAATTTTTTGTGGTTGTGGTTGTGGTTGTAGCTGGTACTGGAGATTGAACTCAGGGGGCCTTTATCACTGAGCTACCACTGACCTACATTCCCAGCATTTACCCACCTCCTTTTTTCTTCCTTGAGAAGGTGTCTTGCTAAGTTAGGTTGCTTAGGTCCTCACTAAATAGCTGTGGCTGGCTTAGAACCTGTGATCCTCCTGCCTCAATCTCTAGTGTTGCTGGGATTACATGTCTGCACCACCAAGCCTGCAAAATGTAGTTTTTATCATATAGTGATTTCCATTGATAAATGCCACAAATAAATTGCATGTCTAAAAATATGTCTGATTTCTCAAAATAAATTAAGAACTACTAAGATTTTCTACTTGTGAGTTTAAAGGAGATCTATCTATCAGTTTTTTAAAAAATAAAATCAACGAATTTCACTAGATAACATCCATATAGTAGAATACAAAAAAAAATATCTATTAAAAAAGTAATTCTGTAATTTATTTATCAATGGTTTCTCCTATCTATTAACCTCCTCAAATAAACACAAGTATTTAAAATAATGCAGTAGCTTAATCAATCCCTAACAGAAGCTGCTTTTGAATGACTTCTGGAAATCCAACCCATATTTTCACATCCAAGATTTTTTTAAATGGCATACCCTGCTGTGCACTGAGCCTCAATTTCTGTGAACTGTCATAGCCAAGAGTTAGGATAAGCAACGGAAAACTGATAGCTTTTCTACAATTTCCAGATTCATAAAATTCAAATAATTATATCATTTCTCAAGTAAGAAGTTCCATATTGGCCTGTGACCAATGCCTGCTGTTCCACTATTGGCTTTGATCTCCTTAAAAATGTGAAATTCAATGATGATTAAATTGGTAACTTTTATCACAACAGTACACTTCTTTCTTGAGACTCAATTAGGGGTGAAGGTGGGAGACAAGACCTGTAGATTATTCAGTTCTTTAACAAAGATTGAGATCTAAAACTAGAACTCTAACTGCTACCCTTATGAACTGAACTAACATAGGTGAACACCATGGTCAAAGCTTCTCTAATGGCCTCTTTCCCTAGACATTCTGGCCCTTGGAATTGTACTCCTTTTTCATTACAAAGAAACAGAAAGATCAACCTAGGAATAAGGAGATCCTCCCTAAACTTCTTTCACCATGGCTCCCATGCCTTACCCATTAGGCTTTGCCAGAGCTGGGAAGAAGCTTAGAGAAGGTTGGAAATGGGGAGTCAGAAGAAGTCTTTATCCCACCTGTTGCATGAAAGAAATAGATGAGAAATAAAGTAATGCAAACAGGGAGGAAGGATGATCCAAATGTGGAAATAATCCTAACTGAAATGTTCCATAAGGAAGCAATGTGTTTTCATTCCTGGGATGAGGCCCATAGATGAGGTCCATAGATGAAGCTCATAGATAGAGAACATATAGAATACTATCTGCTAAATTTCGTCACATAACACCAGCTTCTCCTTCTAATGGAAAAAAGAATCAGGGAAAGGGGCAGGGAAGTGGAATGGAAAAGTTTGACTTTTCCTTGGTGATTTGGAATATTTCTAAAAGAAATAAAGTGACTTTTCTAAAAGTCACTGTCAGAAAAGGAAGGACTGTAGGAGATCTTCTAAAGACTTTGCACTAAACCTGGAAGCTGAGCAGCCACTTGCTAATATATCTTTACCTTGTCATCATCCTTCTTCAAATCAGCTTTATTCTCAAGGCATATCTCCAAAGCCCCTGTTCTCAGGTTCTTAAATTTACCAGCATTCTTACTTTCTAGACTAAGATTCTTAAATTTACCAGCACTCTTGCTTTCTAGAGATGTTTGAACTGGTACTGAATGCTATCAAAGGAGTTTTAATATTAATTCCATTTCTACACAGTTATTTTTCAATAATAACAGAAAAATGCAAAGAGTCACAATATCTAGAGACACTTTTGATTATCATGAGTAGAGAGTCGGTAGTCCTGGCATCTAGGGTGTGGAGACCAGGGATGCTGATAAAAATTTCAATAATACACAAAGAATTATCCAGCCCAAAATATTATTTGGTACTGAGGTTGAGAAACCTTGATCTAGACTATAAAGTGAAACAGGATGAAAACTTGAAACACAGTTGTTAAAATAAAAACAGTAACTTTATATGGAGTTGTTGAAAGTGAGAACCTGTATGATAGTATAAGTGAATGTCCTTATTTTGAAGTGTATATGGCTTAAGCTTAAATGGGTCATTAAGTACTCACTGGATGAATCTCATATATTTTTATAAATCAATATCATTATATCAACGGAACCTCTAATTTTTAGAAAATGAGTCTATTCTCAGCATTTTATGATGAGAATATCCTTATACTTTGAGTCATTTTTACATCCTACTTGTATACTATTTGCTCACCTAACCATATTCAGGAGGCCAATTTTAATAACTGGGACTTATCTGCATTTTCACTTCATATTGCTTTTCTGAATCAGTAAATATTTAGGAGAGAGCTCTACATCATGAGCCTGACCTAGTGAGTCTCAGCTGATCAGCACAGATCTAGTATGAAGTCCCACTTGCAGCCCTTTGTGTTGCTGGGTGGACCAGGCACACTGCTGACCTGCCCTAACGTGTGAGGCCCACTCTTAAAGGCAGGGCTACCACAAAAAAAAAAAAAAAACAGCAAAAGGTACATACGACTCTTAACACAACAGACCTCAAATGTACAAATAACAACGTATCATTTCTTCAATAACTCTCATCTTCAAAATGCAGATGACAAAGCTTCTTACGTAATTTTATGGGTGTTAAATGACAGCATGTACTTACACAGCCAATACAAAATGCTGCCTTTAAGAGCATTCGCTTTGAAGTAAGACCAATCTAGTTTGACCCTTGGCTCAGATATGTCCTAGGTATATAAACAAAGTCCAATTTTTCATGGTGTGTGTGCTTCATCATTGATAAAATAAGGGTATCAATAATAATGTTAGCAGATGTTTGAGAAGTAAATATAGGGAGATTGTCGAATTAATTTATCACCCAAAGAAGACACTGATGAGTAAAGCAGAATACTGTTAATGATTAAGATGGAAAACAAGGCATAACCTAGGACTGTCTTGAGCCATGAACTATGTGTATGTAATGACCACTTTACCTAAATGAGATATAAGTTCTTGGAACATTTTCACTCAGTAAATAAATGGTCAATAATGATAGTTTTCAAAAACCTGTCTTCCATGAAATGTGAACTTTGCATGATCCTTTAGACTGGATTGTCCTGAATGGTTCTTATACACAGCCTCATAGCAAGTGATTCAAATCTTTATCATTATAAAAAATAAAAACAATGATTACAAATGCTTGAATAATCCTCAATCATCCATAAATATCAGAAGCCTATAGAGAAAAAAAATCCAGGAATGAAGATACCATAGCAGCATTTCCCAAGTGATGTTCTCAGGAGCTTGAATGGGGTATCCTGGACTAAAATGAGGTTCAATGAACCAGTAAGTTTGGAAAGTGCTATTGTGTTTTATACCATTTTAGAATAGCACACTATATATTAAAATATTGAAAATGAATCCTGCAATACAGAAATCTTCACATAGTTCATGCTCAAGACAGTCCTAGGTTATGCCTTATTTGAGAACACTGGCTTACATTTTATGTATACATAATTTAGCCTCATTTTCCATGGAATTGGAAAATAAAGACTGCATACAGGATGCCTGGAACGTGTTGAGATGGAGTCTGAAAACTGGTCCCGTGGGAAACAGTGTCCTGATGAGCAATGATGCCTGCCGTGGCTGCAATGTTGTGTGGGAGGACTGGTGGCACATGTGATACATATTTTTTTTTCATTCAGGATTTGCAACTACTTGTCATAAAATTGAAGAGTAAGTCCTGAATTTTTGAAAATAATAAAAGGTTCACTGAATAAAGTTATACTGACAGCTATCACTTGTTTTCAAATGACTTAGTAAACATATCTCTGTATAAAACATGATAGTTTATATTGTAAGATTTTGTTTAGTTTATCCTGAAATCAACATTAAGCTGGGTTTCACTCAAACTAGTGTTAGATCATTCAGAGATGCTGTGCATTGAAATGCAGGAGACCCGGGAGCTGCTTCAGAGTCTGTGGGATTAAGTGGGAGAGCTTTGTTCCCCCTACTCCTTGCTCGGAATAGCAATAAGTGACCTTCAGAGAGAGAAATTAGCCCTTGGCAAATTAACTAACAACTCCTGATGGATTGTCTCATTTCTCAAGGTGGAATAGACACATTATATCAACTAAGTTAAAGGTGGACAGTTTTTGCCCCTAGAACTTTCCATTTCTTTGTTCAAGCAAAAGAAAAAGGATTCAGGGAAGTGTCAACTGATGTTGTTTTGGCAGGCAAGCCTGACACTGAAGTGAAAGCATCTGCAGTCATTCAAGGAGCCCTGAGCTCCCTTGCAAGACATTGGCATTTGTCACAATGTAAAATGAGGTGTTGTATAACTCAGATGTGACAAGTCATGCTTAGTACCTCCAGATATTCCGCATCAGCTGACTTGGGGAATTCCAGCAGGTGAGTTGCCATTAGCAATAACATTGAAGGGCATAAAAAATATTTATTATCTCCATCTGTTCTCTTTACTCTAGTTTCCATAAAACTGTGTTTCCTTAACGGAGATATTTATATATCTTTCCACTTGGATTTTGGTCACAGATGATCTAGCCAAGTTTATTATCCAAGTGTGGGAAAATGGCAAACTGAAAGATTAGTTTTATTTTCTGAATTGTGTCCCACAAAAACAAAATGTTATGTTGAAGTCATAACCACCAGTATATCAAAATGTGATGCTACTCAGAGATAAGGCCTTTCAAGAAATATGTAATATAAGAAGACCTCCTTCAGAGGGGACCTAATCTCATATGACTTGTCATTTTTATTAGAAAGATGTGGGTGTATAAAAAGGTAGAGTGATATAAAGACATAGGCAGATGATGACTATCACTAAGCCAAGGAAAAAGACCAGAACAGACCTTCATCAGTATTATGGTTTGGATGTGATAAGTCCCCAAAACTCATGTGTGAGACAATGCAAGAATATTCAGAGGTAAAATGATTGGGAAAGCCTTAACCCAATCAGTGAATTAATCCTTGATGGTAACTGAAGGCAGGTAGGGTGTGGCTGGAGGAGGTAGATATTGGTGGCATGCCTTTGGGGTACATATTTTGTGTCTGGAGTGTGGGGTCTCTCTCTGTTTTCTGATTATCATGTGAGTCGCTTCCCTCCACTACACCCTTCTGCCTTACCTCGAGCTCTGAGGAATAGAGCTGGTTGTCTATGGACTGAGACCTGTAAAACCATGAGTCCCCAAATAGACTATTTCTCTTTAAAATTGTTCTTGTCAGGTCTTTTAGTCACACCAATGAAAACACGGTTTAAAACAGCCAGTGTTTTTATCTCCAAAATAATACGAAAATAAATGTCTTATTTGAGCCACCCAGTCTGTGTTATTTTATTATTATTAAAGTGGCACTAGCAAACTAAAGCAATTAATATAAATGAATTTGGAGTAGTAAATAGGAGCAACAGCATGTAAGAAATTTTGTATTTGACTTGAAGTACAGTGAGAAGCAATTTAAAAGTTTTAAACAGAAACAAAATCCCTCACATTGCAAAATAGATAATAGATTGTAGACAGACAGAAAAGGAGAACAATGGAAATATGAGAAGAAATAAAGGGAGATGTGTGTGTGTGTGTGTGTGTGTGTGTGTGTGTGTGTGTGTGTAAGGGGGACAGAGGAAGGAAAAAGAAACTTCTAATCTAGTTTCATCTTGCTCTTAGATTTTCACCACTAGACTGCTCTAACAAAAATAGGATCCAAATATTAAATTGAATTTATAGTTCCATTTTGATTATGAGGGAAGTAATCAGTGAATTAAAAATCAGAAGCTGAAATGCTGGTTTGCTGGAATTTGGGGTTGTTTTCTGAGTATCTTTGCGAGCAATGTGAGATTCCTTGATGATTCTGAATAATTCTGAAAAGAACTTAAAATTGGAAAATGTAAAAAAACTTGCTAAGTCTGAGAAAATCATACAGAGCTTATTATTCAAGTCAGTTATTTATTGGTTCCCATTTTTTTTCTTTTCATTGGCAAATGTGCATCTATACTAAAGGAGCTGTGGTGCTGGAGAAAACCACTTAGCTAAACACAATGGAAAAGCAGATGCAGGTGGAAATAGAACCAGAAAATACCAGAGATATCCCAATTTACTGAAAAATAGCAAAGGATTGCAGGATATTCACATTTCTTGGTAGGTTACATAAGAAATTGAATCTGTTGGTGAGTAGCACGAAGAATTACATTGTGGAGATATAGAAAAGGGAATCTTCTTTTAACAATGTTCTTATTAACATGTAAAAACAAGATCTATGCATGAAGTGTTAGCATAGGTGCTTAGCTAAAGAGGAACAGGAATGGGACAGGAGGGAAATGAGAGAAGGGAGCCACTGTAAAAAGGCCCCTGAGCAGCAGATTCCCATCATGAAATACCATTAGGACATAAACTCCCCCACCCCTATGTGGGTGAGGCTGTGGAAGAAACCCATCTTAGGAAGTTGCCCATACTTCACAGAACCACCAGTGTTTCCCACATTCCAGAAAGAGACCCAGGACTCTCTCCTGTAGACTGACAGGAACGCATATATTCCCAAGGTGGCACATATGTACACATGATGCTCTGAGGTCAGATGACTGTAAAAGGACCTTTCACTGGTGGTGCTAGACCAGAAAGGGCAATTTTCACCCAGTATGGGCAAAAGACTTCCCCCAAACAGGCAACAGGTATGCTAGTGACCAGCTGCCACTCCAAGGTTTCACACCATGAAAAATTCCAACTCCGCATCCTGAAAAAAAAAGCCCAAAACCTAATCATTTCATTCATTTTGGTCCCCAGTGGATCTGGGCACTCCGTCTCTGGGGTATATCTCCCCTTTCTTTTGCCTTTCCCTTGCCTTGCAATAAATCTGTTCTGATTTCCATCCCTGCCTTACTGTACCTCCTATTCTGTACCAGGTTGTTTACCCCAGTCTTAGGCAGTACACCCAAGGACAGAGGATCATTCCACAGTTGACTATAAACTTCTTCCAGAACATCCCACTGGTACTTGGAACTTGTTTTCAAAAGACTGTGATATAAAAATTAAAGTATTTGGTAGTATGGAAAGCAAAATTCTAAGATGGTACCCTAATTCCTGCCCCTGGAAGTTCAGGTCATGTGCGGAATTCTTCCTCATGGGGTGTGAGTGGGACCTTTGACCAGCATCTAGATGACAAACTATGGCAAAGGCAAAAAGGATTTTTCAGATGTAATCAAGGTGTCAAATCAATTGATTTTGAGGTAATAGAAAGATGCGATTCAATGGGTGGGCCCAGGTCTCTCCTGGGCTCAAAATTAGCAGCCACCTTGAGGACACCAATTTTCAGTATATTTTGATGGTAGAACCATAAGACTTGCTATAATGGTTTTGTTATAAGAGTAGAAAAAAATGAATATGGACAATGCCTGCATTTCTTATCTTTACTGATTTTTAGATGACTGTATTATTTACTAACATAGAGAAGACAAGGGATTACATTTTGGTAGTTTGTATGACATTGGCCACGTCAATCAACCTAGCTG